TAATGATTTTCACTTTTATTCTGTAATTCTATTAATACATTAATCTTATGAAATTGATAGATGATTTAAATATCTAACAATAATTTATCTATAAGCTGGTTATGGTCAGACTTTTATTTTCTAATCTATTACGGTAGTCAAGCTTTTTAGATCAGCCCTGGTTCTAAAGCAACGTAACATACTGGGTCAGTATTATCATATTCAAAACGGTTAGAAGGATGCAAAATGTTTAATTCTCAGCTAAAAATTGGTAATAATGCAGCAAGCAAGAGAAAATGTATCTATGAACCACATTATTATTATTGTTTGATGACGAATAGTTGCAGAACAAGCTTTAAGTTTTGCACTTTGATGTATTCCCACTTTTTAAAAACACTTTGGCGTCTGTGACATGCTATTGTTTTTAGACCTTTATATCGTTTACAAGACAGATAAATAAGCCCATTATCAGTTTCAAGTTTTAAAATAATTTTTTCTTTAAGTTTATCAAAGGAAAATACTTCAATAAAATTTGTTTTCTTAATAATTTGACTGATTTACTTATAAAGATTTTTTTTTTAAAGGTAGACAATCCAAGTAACAAACATCATCAAGGGCCTATGGTCAGTTCTGTTAATCACAGATTTACCTCTGAAGGTCTGGTGTTGTGGGCAAGGTGTACATAATCTGTCTGGTTGCATTCAATTTGTCTTTTTCATATATATTTAGAATATTTGTTCTAATTATTCTGTGTCCTTGAACTCGGTCTCACCAAATGGCTGATCACACCTAGCCTGGTTCTGCTGGAGTTTTTCCTCTCAGCTGTCGCTTTTAGTATGCTCAGTGTGAGGAATTGCATTCAAGTCAATGAGTCGATGCAATCAACTGGTTTTCCTTAGATAGAAAACTTTGAATCTGCGTTATATAAATATACCAAATTGAATTATTCTCTTTTTTCGGATTAAAAGTAACTAGTAAAAATAACTGTTTAGAATGTTTCAAACAACTTTTTTGTTTTTATGGTATTTTTTAATGAAATTTCTCATCTCCTCAGAGCTGCTCACCTAGGGATGGTCGCATTGATGTTACAGAAAAAGTTAATTCATTGTGTTGACATTTGGCTCCCAGCAGTTCACCCTCCAAGAAACGGTGAAATAATTAAATGAGTAAAGAGAATTGTAAAATTTTCAGTGTGAATATAACAAAAAAAGTAACGCAACTGTTTTGATCTGTTTTCTCAAAAATCTAAAAATGAGCTAAAACATAAGGATACAGAGTGATCTTCTCGCTGGAAGCTGGAGGAACTTCTTTAAGTGGCTTATGGAGGAAGGTATGTGGGAGGAGTGTGACAAGTGGCGGTTCGTACCATGCTGTGAACTGTGACTCCATTTCCTTGGGGTGGGTGGGCTTTGCAAAAGCCGCTAGCCGCTTAGCCGATGACATGGAGAGAGTCGAATTGGCCAGAGGTCACAGGAGCTGACGGTGGAATCATGGCGGATGCAAAAGGTGCAGGTGTTGGTCGGATGACTCTGGTGCACAGGAGGATTGTGGGTAGATGGATATGTCAGAGTATAACCCTGCCCATTCTTGATCGGAGGGAAGACGATAACCGTTTTAAAAACCTGATTGTCTTCAATTTTAGTGCTGCTCTAACATGAACCCTCAGGGGAAACATTGTACCCAGGAACCATGCTGGATGAGCTTTTATTCTGAAACTTACCTCTGAATAGTTCATCTACAGATCTAAGCAAAGCAAAATATATATAAAAAAAACCCGAAACAAAACCCTGTTACTGACTTTTCAAACAAATGGGAGGATTTACTGCTTTAGACTAAAAATGTTACTTTGCTTCAATGATTTATTTTACCCATAACCATGTACAAATAAACAAAACCTTTACAGCTTTGTATGGTCACACATTTAGCATTCATTGGTCCAAAAGAACTCCTCACGGGCGACATAAAAATTTAGACACCGACTGATTCCTAGCATCAGGCATCTTAATGTTGCTCTGATGTCACAAATGTACCATCCATTCTAACAGTTTCATTGCAAATAAAATAGTCACATGCAATGATTGAAAAAAATTACATTACCTCATGTCACATAGAAAGTAAGCGAAAAGTTCCATTATTTAGAAATAAGTACTCTTTAGAGATTTGTCTCTCTCTCTCTCTCTCTCTCTTTTTTTTTTTTTTTTGAAGTCCTACACATTCTGTCAACAGCATTGTTGGTCTCATTTGGGTTGTAAACATAAGTTACAGGACCGAGCTGCATTTAGCTGGCTGCGTACCATCTCTCAAGAGAATTGGTCAATCAATACTATCAATCAGCTGATGGAGAAGATTTGGTCAGTAGTCAATCGGGGAATACAAATGATTTTCTCATATGATCGTCTTTGGGCTCAGTTTGGGGCAACAAGACACCAGTGAGAGACTGGAGAACAGACTCAACAGTTAATCTGTTTAAAACACCCTGAGAATCACAACTACATTTCTTTTATCTCTCCTCCCTTCTTCCTAATCTCTCGTTTTCTCTGTTTCTTCCTCTAAGAGCAAATCATAGGTAGGTGGGCGTGGCGTTGTCAGTTGGGAAAAATGACTGGTTGGTTGGTTTGTTGTTGTGGAAGTCAGTTGCGTGGCAACTGGCTCCTCTGTGGTTGGCATGGAAACAGGTTAAGGTGGATTCTGACCTGGTAAAGGTAGTATGCAGCACGTACAGTAGTATGAACAATAGGATGCAGTAAGCAGCTCTGGGGAAAAGGACGATCTTGATTTGAAAATTAAAGCAATGATTTTGGATGAGTGAAATGATGTAAAATAAGTGCACCTCATGAAGATCAAAGGTTCGGTTTAGTCTGAAACTGCCGAAATGCATTCTAACACATAGAGATTTGACACATCTGCCACATCCGTTTCTGTCCCCATCCGCTGAATATACAAATTACATTTTTGTTGCACAACAACTACATCTGCTTTCGTCAGAAAAAACAGTCCCAGTAAAATTGTTCTCAGAGATATACGTGATTCGCCCTGAGCAACAAAGACATGTTCTCCTTTACTGGAAGGTTCCTATTTTAAGTGTTAGTGCATTAAGCACCACCACAGAGTAAAATTTGTTCACCTCCATGGTGCTTGAGTCAGAAATCCAAAGGACAGACATGTTAAAACTGCTAAAAACATAATTAAATTAAACCTTTGGGGAATCAAACTTGAGGTGCACTTTGTCTTGAATTAGGCCAGGCTTTGTTTGGTTTTAAACCCTTGGGAAAACACTCTATGTAAGCTTTTATCCCCAGATCTGTCGGCATGTAACAGTAGATTGTGACAGTAGTATGTTATCGATGGAGAACATCACATGGGGCTGACGTGGTGTGCAGCAAAGGATGGCGCAGGGGTAGGCGGTAGTGGTGGACAGTGATTGGTTGATTTGGTTGGTCAGGTGACTGAAGGGGTTATGGACAGTCGAGTTGAGTCAGATCACATGATGAGGGTTTTCAGCTATAACGTCAGGAGGTTCCATCAGGGAGCATGGAAGCCTGACAGGTTTTAGCTTTTGGTGGACACTGGACAGAAACACCCACCCCGAACCCCACCCTCACAGAAATCACACACACAGACACCCCATGACAGACATGCATTCAAAGGCAAGTTAGCAGAGCATTCGTTTGCAGATTCATTCCAGAGACAACACACATCTCTCTCCCGACCTTGCATTCGGTCCCACCCCGGACTTGCGATGTGTTACTGTGATGATGCAGAGTGTGGTGGAAGGTGAAGAATAAGACAACGGAAGACAGGTGATGCTAAAATGAACATTTATAATGACTGCTGTTGCTGTCGCAAAATAAGAATCCTTAAAAAAAGACCTCATATATATATTAGCACTAGATTGCCCACTTCACTGGTAATCCACAAGTCAAGAAACACAACTCACTAGTTTTTTGTTTTTTTTTTGCTTTACAAACACAATGCTACAATTACATTAAATATTCAATAATCTTTAAGTCAGTTAATGAATGTTGTTAAAAGCAACCACTAAGATACTAAAAATGAAAACAAAACAATAGTATTAATTCACCTTTTTTCCAGTCATTCCCTTTTCTTGTTGCGAAGTTATTTATTAATAGTATATCAATAATAGTCTGAGAAATAAATAGCTCATGTGGTGTTCTCAGGGCGATGGGGCAGGCAGCATAAATCAAGAGTGGAGCTGAGAGCAATGCAATGAAATGGTGCAGTTGAATCTCACTCAATTTACTGCTTTTCGAAAATGTCTCGATGTAGAGGCGGAAAACATGGAGATATGATTCAAGTTTGGTTCTGCAGGCGTCCGGGTGGTTGAAGGGCACCTGCAGAGAATCTCTGGATGTAAACCACGACTGTATTGCAGAGAGCGTCAGCAGCTCAGCCTCCTCCTTTTAAACCCCAGGAGGAACTTCTTTCTGTTTCTAAAAAATTATATTTAGTTCCTGGGATTTTTTATTTTTTCTCTCCAAAACAGAGGAGCTGAGTCATTTTATATGATTCCATGATGATATGTCTCTAACACTACAACTACGGCTTGATAATGCCACTACAACTAACTGTTAGAAAAAACATCAACAAATGCACATGAACAAGCCTACATCGAGAATGGCTTGGACTCGTTCTCGTTGTTAGTAATTGCTATCTGATGAGCACAGTTTTCTAGAGAGTTTGCAAGCCAACAGGAAAGCTAACAGTGATCACAGGAGGTAAATCAACACTAATAACAACAGCACAGGGCAACACAGTAGAACTACCAGAGCCGATTATACAGGCAGACCCTAACTATGGGATTCAGGAGTGGGATGATCGCCTCCACGAGTTTCTCTCTTTATGCTGCCGGCCCCTTTCTGCTTAACACTTCTCTCTTTACAGATTGGCAAAACTCTGACAAAAATATTTACAATGAGAGAGAAAAAAATGAAATCGTGGTGAAACAGTTGCTTAGTGTTTTTATCTTTTTTTTGTTTGTCTGCGTTTCCTTTTTTGGGATCACTTTCATGTATTTTTTTTTTTCTTCTTTTATTTATTTATTTATTTTTTTAGACTTGTATCTCAGAGAAATGTCCCCAATGATGAGCAACAAACAAACAAACAAAAAAGAAAAAAATCCAATCACATCAGCTAGCATTGCACAGTCTCAAGAGAGGTTTTGGGGATGGAATGGAGAGTTATCGTCCAAACAGTTGGATGAACACAGAAGTGGGGGAGGAGGAGGAGGAAGGTCAATAAAGTTCATGAGGGGGTGAAAGTTCAAAAAGTTCGAGAAGACAGAGGATGGCTGCGCAGCTGACGGTGCGTAAACACTCCCCACACACACCACTGCACGGAGGGCGGTGCATGTGTCGGCGTGCGTGGTTTGGATGTTAAACGACAAACAGAAACAAAAAAATCATCATTAGAAAATGGAGTTTTTGAATCTTTCCCATTGAGAAAAATCAAATGGAGCGAGAGCGAGAGGAGGGGGGAGGATTACAGAAAAAGTAAGAGAAAAGAGGTGGGGACGGGGCGGAGATACAGAGAGAGGAGGGAGGTGAGGAGAGTGAAAGGTGCCCCCAACACCATGGCACACAATCAATGGAGTCCAACAGGCTGAAGAAATGACAGAATTAGGAAAGCAGCTGGCATGAGCGGTAGGGCTGTTTTTTTTTGTTTTTTTTTTTAGGTTGAGAGGCAGGACAGTAGGTAGGTAGCCAACCTGCAGAGGGGTTAATCCTTGTCGGGTTTAGCTCTGTGAGGGGGGGTGGTGAGAAGGAGGAGGAGAAGGTGGTGGTGGTAGGGGGGCAAGGTGCTGTTCAGTTGAGACGTCATGAGCGACATCATGTTATGAAGGCGGAGCATGCTGGCTTCATGGGTGCTTCCAGGATGGATGTCCAAGACACAAGAACAACTCAAAGAAACGCTTGGAATGGTAGTAGAAGTCGCTGTTGTCATTTTTGTTTTCCTCTCTGTTCTATTTTGGCACTCGAGAGAAGAGACTCGTGGGAGGCGGAGGAGGAAAGTGTGTGCAGTGAGTGTATGTTTGGGCGAGGAGGAGGAGGAGGAGGAAGAGTGGGCAGTGAAAGTGCACAAAACGAGGGCATGGAGTGTGTACTTTGTGTGTGTGTGTGGAAAACGGGTAAACAGGCTACACACAGAAATGGCATTTTGTTAAAACAGGTTCGGGTTAGAGCATACAATACAAATCAAAACCAGGGAAGTAAGTAAATTAAAAGAGCGAGAAGAAGAAACAGAAGAACAGTGATATGACAAATGCAGTCTACAGTCGCTGGTGTTTCAATGGGCAACAAGTTTTGGGAGAAGAGGAAGGGGGATAAGGAAGGGAAGTCTTTTAAAACACTGGATGTTGTTTGAAGGGGGTCAGGGTGATAAGTGTGAGTGAGAGCAGGTTCCTAGAGGTAGGTGAAGTTGGGGCGGGGGGGGGCATAGAAATAGAAGAAGCAATGAGCTCCCCTTTCAACAAGGTTAGCGGTTAAATTAGCATTTATCTACACATCACAGTCAAATTAAAACCATGGGGAAAATAATGACTTATTGGCTATCAACAAAGACACCATGAGCACAGAGCTGATCTATAGCGGACAAACCCAGAGAGAGGGACAGAAGGAGCATGCACATCTAAACACACAAAACACCTACATCAATGCTAAAAATCTACAGTAGTCTTACACTCTGACCCCCACCTCAGCTTGGCCTGCCTTGCACAGTGTCAGCAGAGAGTTTAGTGCAAACATATAACTCAGAGCAAGAAATGGGAACATTATTCCTAGGGAGTTAGGGCCAAGATCCAGTTCCGACCCAATTACAAAACTGTCTAAATTGACAAAAATAACAGAGAGGGTCGGTAGTGAAAATGAAATACCTAAAACATTCAGGCTTAAGTCAAAAAAGCTAATAGAGGTGTTGGGATTCAACATAGATTGAAACTTCCCAAAACGGTTCATTTTGGGGGGATATAACCTAGATTTAGTATTTAACGTAAACTAGAGATGCACTGATCAGGCTTTTAATGGCAGCTACTGATTTCCTTTAAGGACTGAAATGACACAAATTAATTCATATAAGCTTAGTTTAGTAGACTGAACCCCAGTTGGCCTTGGCAGATGGCCTCTCACACTTAAAACCTGGTTCTGCTGGAGGTTTCTTCCTAAGTTTTTCCTCTCCACTGTCGCTACAAGCATGCTTAATGTGAGGGATTTCATCCGAGTCAATGACTCAAAGCAATCAACTGGTTTTCCTTAGATAGAAAACTTTGAATCAATTTCCCACCATACTGTTATCACACTTTAAAGTTCTTCTGGTGAGATGACAGAATGCTTGGAGCTCTCCTCTGATTTTCCACTGCTGCACACTGCCAGTCAGATGGTTCAAATAAAGTTTTTTTCTTAACCCAGTCAATGAAATATATATTTTTCTGAATTAAAAAATAATTATCAGCAGCAATAATAAGACAATAATGGTTTGGAAGCTAGAAATACACCAGACCACAAATCCTGGCAGCCAGATTAACCCAACAGTATGTTGGGTTAATTAACTAAGTAAATTAAATACAGGAGAGGTGAAACAAATGGAGGATATTCAAAAAATTCTAACTTATGAGTAGGTATTAAAATAACTGCCAATAAATACTGTATTGGGATAGTAATTCTAGTGATTATGCTGTTAAAATGTGATATTATCCCACAACTAAATCCAAGGCTTTTATGGAAGCAAATGCAGGTTACTGTTTTGTGGCATCCAATCATACTTAAAGCATCTCTGCCATCACCTTTGAAAGGGGGATCATATAAAAAACATTAGGATCCGTTGACCGGATCAGTGCATCCCAAGTAAAAACACAAACCCTCCTGAGTTCTTCACCAGAGGAAGACCTAAACAGGTGGCAAAAAGGACGTTTTATCTCCTTCTACCTCGGCGTACCTGGATTATTTCTGAACTGGTTTAACTGGTTGGTTCAGATGCTCCAGATCAACCAAATGCATCAATGCCAAGACAAGCCAGAGATCAAGCGAGGGGGTATAAAAGAACACACGACAGAGTGCATCTACAGGTTAGTAATGTTAGAATAAAAAAACCCACAGAGAAAAACATGAAAAGCTCCTGCAGCACGAGTTGTCAAAGAAAGTGAAGTTAATGAAATGAAGAGAACATTCGTGAACAATCTCCGTCTAGATTTTACACTAAATCCTAAGAAATATATAGATTTGTTTATGTGCACTTAAAAAATGTTTTATTCCGAGCTCGCAAACGAAAAAAAAAAATAGTTCAAGAGCTTTGTTCATATCCCTCCTGCAAAGGTTTAGTCAATTTAAACAAAAAAAAAAAAAAGGCTTTTCTTTTGTAACGACAAAATCAAACCTGTAGCACAGACATTTGGCAGGTTTAACGCAACTGCATGGAATAACAACAGTTTGAACGCATGTGAAACAATATCAAAATGCTCTACCCTTATCGACATGCAGAGATTTGTTTCAGAAAATCAACAACACACACTGCCTATTTTTTTATTCATTTGTTTTTGTTAGATTTTTTTTTTACCTTTTTTTTGTTCACGCTTCACTTTGATATCATGCAATATAGACGTGCAAAAAAGATAACATCTATTTCCACAAAATACATTTAATTTTTTGATGTAACTATAAAAGGTTGTATTTAAGAATGCTATCTTAGTCACATTTTTCTTTAGCATGATGATGCTAACCTATCGCTATATTGATCAGTCGAGCCCCAGAGTTGTAGTGCTGTTGCATTCTGGGAGTGCATTTCCCAGAGGATCGGCTAACGCTGACATGGCGGCCCCTTCTTGAGCAGGAAGGACAAAATAGGACTTTAACGCAAAGATATATTGAGGTGCTTCGTCTTTACGTCTATTTCTTAAAAACGTCTACGGGAACCTCACCCTTACTATAAATATGGTTCATTTGGCACTTTTCACATTTTCTTAATATAAAAGGAGGTCTCTTCTTAGCTAATGAGTGTTTTGACTTAACATGTTAAGAGTTTTAGCTCCTTCAAGACATATTTTGGCACAAAATTAACTTATTGTCAGCATCTACCAGAGCGGTATTTAACACTGCCCCCTAAAACTAGCTGCTCCAGCTAAAGGACAGGTTCCGATATGTTTTAAACTTGTCGTCTTAGTACATCAGTTATTATTAAATAGCAGCATTTCCACGAATAAAAAAAAAAAAAGAGATGTACATCAGTAAACCTATCCAACATCTAAACCTAAAAGCTCCTACACGGCAGACAGAGGACGGGACAACACGATATGCCGAAACGAGTATTGCTTCCAGTACTTGTCACATTTTCATTTTAGTCTCCTAATGTTGAGATAGCTAAAAGAATATTTTAAAGTTTGATCAATGATATGAAATATAACTCCTTCTCACATTAATCGATGCCTTCTTAGGTCTATATACTGTTAAAGCACTTCCCTTCTTGAACAATACTATACCGTGCTGCATGCATGCTTTCTGCATATTTCACCTCTAAGTTTTACAGATGTTTTTTTTTTATTTATCTGCCTTGGACTTTTAAAAATTAGAAATATGCCTTAAAGTGACTTGATTCTACGGCGGAATAAACAAGTTCCAGCAAGCTATCTTAGCTTGACAAATGAAGCACAGTATATGTTCGATGTAGAATGGGAGCGCACATTCCACCTACGCGCTTTTTTACAATACTATTTACCATCAAAATCCAGTCAAACCCCTGACAAACTTCAAATACTACCTCTTGATATGTGTTTTAGCAATATGGGAATCCAACTTAACAATACTTGTCTTGAGAGTCACAAAGAAAAATGCGTTGATTTAAGGTGGACAGTTTTCTTGCACTGCGTCCTGCCAGCTCTCACTTCCTCCTTAGAGGTGGTCCTCTGCAGCCCACAGGAGGACAGACTCAATCTGAGGCATTTGCTGGGGCAAGCAGCAGACATGCATCGATCGAAAACACCAGACATAGTCACCCATGGAGCGATGTGTTAGGAGGAGAAGGGGGTGTAAGAATGGGAGTGCACTGGAAAACTGAGGACGAGTGGGAGGGGTGAGGAGAGTGTGGATGGTGTTAGATGGGAGTAAAGAAGCCTCCTTACCAAGTTGTGGAGATTAAACCCTCACTGGCGCTCCAACAGAGAATGACCTTCGATAGCAATATGTCTGATTCGGGATCCAATTGTTGCCTTTCTTTTTTTTTTATCTAAAAAAATGAAGTTTAATTTCCCTGACCTCGTTTTTTGGGTAAAAGAAAAATCAAACACCCCCCTCCTCATTATTAGCATTTTACATTCTGTCTGAACTCTTGTTCAGACCTTTTATTCTTCCAGGGATTAGCCTATTGGATGTATAACACTGAGCTGCATTTAAAAAAAATAAAATTTGATCCAGTCTTCTTAACCTGCTGCTGGAAACCCAACTCTTCCCCAACACCCTGCCCTCTGATCTCAAGGAGAAAGGAGCTGACCTAAACCTCAACTGATTGATCTTTTTCATCGACCTAGTCTCTTCCTACGCCTTCAGAATTCAGATACGACATGCTTTGTCATCAAGTTCTTCATATGCATTCTACATATATTTGATATATGTGGATTTTTGTTTGTTTTTTTCCCTGCCAGTCATGATGCCATCTGCAGCACACATCCCCGACCTCGTAGGTCGGGGAAACTGCTCTCTAGCTTCACAGTGCATTAAGACAAAAACAAATTCAGTGTACTCCGATTGTAAAAAAAAAAAAAAAAACACAAACAAAATATATTCAACACAATAAAACAACAGCATCTTCAGCAGCCTTGTGGGTCTACATTGGGCAGTAAACGATAAGGAGCTCTGCTCCCTGGATGTGTGTTGAAAATTTCGAATCTGCTCTTTACCTTGTGGCAGTTGGACGGTTCCTTGATAAGGGCGAGTATCGGTGGGGTTATTCATCTCTTTCACTGATATGCATGCTGCCTTTGAAGAGCAAATCTGCACGCAAGGCTGGCAGATTTAGCAGTGTACCCCAGACAAATGACGCTCCCTCGTAACATTTCAGTGTTTTTCGTTTTCTACTCATCGGTTGTGTTTTCTCAGTAGTATGCTGTTAATCTTAAGTGCTCTATCTTGATCTAGTCTGTGGGTTGGAGGTTAAACTAAGGGGGGTTGGAAGACCACAGGCTGAAAAGCAGCAGTTCAACCGAGACTGAGTCTAAAATCAACGGCTCATCTTCATTCGTTTTTAGTTGCAGTTTTGCACTGAAGGTAGCCTGCAACATTTCACTACAGCTACATACAGCAGTGATATTTCGCAGCATGAGAAGGAGTAGCTGAGCAGGATAAACAGGTATTTAGGGTTACTATAGCTGCACTGCAGTCTGTGGTGGGAGTGGTTCCTGCTAAACTAGAAATCTTACTGGCTCCAAAGATATGATGAATTCCCTTTTGTAGCACCAAATACGGCATTGTATTGTTTCCTTTCAGCGTGTGCATGCGTGTGTGCATGTGTTGGTAAGTGTGTGCATTCCCTGTTCTGCTCTTTGACTGGATATATCGCTCTAAGGATCTTACTGCCAGGGGCTGCTCCCTTACTAGACATAAATAAGACATATATTACACTATTTGACATTACTATTCCTCTTCAGTCCACTTACATGAAAACAAAAGATTTAAACCAAAACAATAGTCTCATTTACATTCATGTCAACCTGAATTCACAGATTAAAAAAGAAGACTGCGCTCTATCCGGGCGATATTATTAATAAATAGCGACAATAGTGATAATTCCTGTCGTAATAAGACAATATAATCGTTAGTATTATTACTATAGGAGACTATAGAGATGCTGACGAGCCTGTGTGTTTGCCGGAGTTGGCAGGTTAAGGCGTCGCACTACATCTTGTCAGCAGGATGTGCTGAAACACTAGCGCCACATTTGGAGGAAGGTGTGTGCCTTTACACACCTGCAGGTTGTAGGGTGCATGTGAAATAAAGAAGTGCCCTCACCCTCTTTTTCCTTCGCCGTTGTCCCAATGAGGGAGGCGAAGATATATGCAGAGTTAGGTGGGCGGATGCGAGGACATTTCTTTCCTTACACACTCGGCTAAAGTTTGCAATCTTGTTCTTTTTCAAACTGTTAAAAAGGGGAAGGGTGAAGCAAGGGGGGTGGGGGTGGGGTTCTGCTGGACGGGGGGCAAATTTCCTCCAACAAAAACGAAAAACCTGTTTGAGGGTACAGTTTGTGGGCTGGAGGGAAAGGGATAGGTAAGGTTTGGATCCCGGTGGGATTCAGGAGGGTTGTACCCTGTAAACACCAACCCTCCACCTCACCATACCTTAATCCCTCCCCCTCCCCGCACTCTGTAGCCTCTCAGGCAGTCTGCCTGTCTAAATGGCATTCAGCTCTGTCCACACAATACACAAACAGACAGCTTAATTTACTGAACAAAACAAAACAATAAAACAAAACAATAAAAATTCCCAAAAGGTCAAGACGTTAAGTAATAAAACCTTATTTACATTTTACACATTTTTTTCTTGGTTTTTCAGCGTAAGAACTCGCTCTCCTCCCTCCTCGTCTTCTCAGCACATTTTTGCTTTGAGTCAAAAAACTTTTTTTTTTTAATATAGAATACTGAAAACACGCAGAAGAAAACGGCGCAAACGATTCCTTCCAATATTCGTTCTCTCCTCTCCTTTTTCCATTCTCCCTTTCACTTTTTTTTACTCTCCTCCCCCAAGCCCCCATTCCTTTTTTTCCTCTTTTCCTCCTCATTTCTCATCGGCTGTCAGGTTTAGCCCACCTTCTGTGGGTTGGTGGCGCGTACCCCCTGCTCGTAGGTGATTCGCTGGCTGATCAGGTACTGTGCAGCCTGTGTGGCCGCCTGGGATCCCGTGATGGTCACCTTCCTGTTCCGGGTTCCTGGGATGAACTCGCCTTTCTTGGAGATCTGGATCCTGGCTCCGGTCAGCTCCTGGTACTCCACTAGTGTCTTCCCTCCTTTCCCCAAGATGGCTCCAACAAGGTTTTCTGGGACGGCAATCTCAACCACTTCCTTTGCTCCTTCTGCCATCTTCTCCGTCGCCAGAAGAGACGACGCCATAAGTGGGGATGCTGCACTCAAGTAACCATTAGTGGCTCCCGTAGCAGCAGCCAATGATCCCAGAGAGAGGCCTCCAAGACTGGCGGCGGAATGAGCTGCACTGGTAGATGCATCGCTAGCATATGATGCTAACAAATTGGCTGCAGCAGCTGCTGCCGGGTTGGCATTAGCTGCTACAGCAGCTAAAACCCCTGAAGCGGCCGCGGGATTCAGCCCCAGGCCAAGAGAGTTGGTGTTGTAACCATAACTGGCCAAGGTGTTGAGAGCGGAGGTGATGGCGAGCAAGTCGTTGCCTGAGAAGCTGGACATGGTGGTTGGGAAGGCGCCAACTCCTGCCAAGCCTGCCTGGCCAAGCAGAGAGGAGGCTGTAGCTGCTGCAGCGGCCGCTGCTGCTGGCATTACCTCGGTGGAGTTGGCGTATGGAGAGCCAGTGGGATTAGAGTTGGCCACTGGCCCTGTGATGTTTGAGTAGGAGATGTTCAGGCAGGAGGAGCTCTGTGGATCTTCCTGAATCTTCTGGATGATGATCTCCACAGCTTTACGGTTTTGCTCGGGCTCGCCACTGATGGTGACCACACGCTCCTGCAGGTTGATCCCCTCAGGTTTCTGGGATAGTTGGACCCATGCTCCAGACTGCTCCATTACTGCCTTGACTGTAGCGCCGCCTTTACCAATGATAAGCCCAGCTGTACTGTTGGGGACAATCAGCTTCGCCTGTTGGGATGGGTGGGGGGGTTTGGAGGAAAAAAGAAAAAACATTATCAGAAGCTATTGGTTAGAAGCAATATGGTCTCTGTTTAGCCTAGCACTGCTTTAGCCATGATCAGGCTGTTTGAAAAAATGTGATTGTCTCCACCTTGTGGCTTTCCATCAGTATTGCACTAATGTAAAGTGATATTTCAGCTTTTGAAAAGAAGAAATACCATCACACAAATGAGGATTAAACATCTTCAGCCATATACGAGAGGTAAAAAAAGAAAGGAGCATTCTTTAAAAGAGTGCAAATAATGTGAAAACACTGTGAAAATGAAAAACTGTGCAAAGGTTTTTTTTCTTCATTGCTTTGGTGGAAAATTAGAGAGAGAGGAGGAGAGGTAGAAAGAGGTAAACAGAGTGGGAGGGAAGGATGGATGAGACAGAGAGAGTAGAAAGAGGAATGCTAAAGAGGCTACTTCGGTGGAAAAAAATAACATCGACTCCCGGGGGTCAGCGTTGCCATGGAAACACAGCTTCCACATTCAAAGGGTAGAGAAAGGGAACAGGGCACACACAGATGCAAACACACAATTTTCACGGCCAAATGTAGTGCTGTAAATCAAATTCTACGTGTAAATACTTGTTGGGTTTTTTTTTGGCAAGAGTTCATCAGACAGGTGTCCAGATGTAAAACTGTGTTCAGCTAAGGAACGAGGTTTACGCTGCAGAAATACTCAGAGCAGTGAGTCTGGAGAATAAGAGCATTATTTAGACATCATCACAGGGAAGATATTAATCTATTTATGGAGAAGATGGTGTCATTTGCATTGGCAGCAAACCTGAAGGAGCGACTACAACTGCAAGTTAAGATCTATCTTTTTTTTTTAAACTAAATACCGGTAACATATTAAATTAAAATAAATTAAATAAATGTTTTAAAGTGGTAAAAAATCTACCAAAAGCGACAGCTTGATTGGTGGTGGTGAATCTCCGGCTGCCACTTTAACAAGTGAGTTAAAACCTTAAAGTCTTTGGTAGAAAACTGATGATTACGGATTGTTTTACAGCATCAATGTAAAAACCAACAAAACATTGATTCAAAAGTTTTCACTGTGAGAAAATTAAAATGCTTTAAAAAACCATCACAGGCTTCAGAACCAAATAGAACATCATCTCCACACAATCTAACATATTTTAGAAACATTTTCAGGCAGAGTTAGTCTGACTAAATATGACTGAACCCCAAAATCAAAACAAAACCTATTTTAACTTAATTTTTTTTTTTTTTTTTCCATTTTAGTAAAGGTTTTATTTTACATCCCAAAGACCCTAACCAAGATTTAAGTGAATAAATTAACGAATATTATAATATTTCATAGTTGGTAATAGTGATAATCCATGTGAGAGTAATGCAGCACCACTTGTTGAGTGTGGATCAAAGCAGAACACCTTTAATTTCAATGTGGAACAGAAACAAGTGCAGCTCTGACGTCTGAATGAAGCAGAACGCCATGGCTGACGTGTGCCGGTAATGACGCAGGGCTCTGCTGCAGACCTGACCTCGCATCAGAGGAACATTTCACCTTAACAAGAGAAGCCGCATCTGCTTTCAAGTTGTTTCAAAAGTCAACATCAAAACAAGAAAACTGTTTTCCGCAGTTAACAAACATCCGCCAAACATAGCTGTCAATAGACTTAGATTCATTTGTCATTTTGTAAGTGTAAAAAAACAAAACAAAAAGAAATTAAGTTTGGAACTGCTCTCTGGACAACTTCGACTTTTTAAAAGTGCAGCCTTGACAAATAGAAAAGCAAATATGTCTTGTAATAATGTTTTTAAAATTAAGTCATAAGCACAGACAGAGGCGGCGGATGGAAATGGAAATAAAAAGTTAGCTCTAAGGAAGAATAGGCAATCATTAAGATTCCTGTTCTACAAAAAAGCAAATGTATTCCAAATAAGACATAACAAATGAAAGTATAAATTAGAAAAAAGAATAGCTGATCCTCATAAGAGGAACATGTAAAGACCATGCTGGGTAGTCGTTATTTGATGCCCTTTTTTATTTCTTTCAAACCTTGTCCTGCTGCTGCAGTTGGAAGCTGCATAATGCAAGTGTGGCAGCATCCCTGATGCTGAGGTCTATTGCCACTTTGCCTCAGATGTCTCATTATCTGCACTGCAGCTTTCTCTCAGGCAGCGGCTGAATTTACATAGAAATAGAAAATTAGTAAAGGCTGCACAGGAGGGAGTCGATACCAAGAGGAGATTTAAACCCTCATGCAGCGTCTTAGTTTTACTCCTTGCTGCTTCAGCTTGAATACCAGAGAATTATCTTTTCCCTGAGGATGTTTGTTTTGGAGACGTCTGAGCTCCTCTCTGGGATTAACAGTTTTGTTTGTTGGTTTATCTTTTCTCTAAAAGCATGAATGGAAGTTGCGACGGGTTTGTATTGATCAGTTAGTTGTTGCTTTGAGTCTCAAACACAGCGAGGATTGTTCAACACGTCTGTTTACGTCCTGCTGCTACTAGAGACTCTGCGACAATCTGCTGCACATATTAATAAGAGGAGCAATGTGCTAACAAAGTGTGAATGCTACTTTCTGCTTTGAGGAATGCATGTTTCTAGGAACCTTTAAGCTGAGAGGAAATCCAATATTTAAGTGTGCAGATAAGCACATGGCCCACACTCTCTTTAAACCAATCAGAGCAGCCTCAGCCAACATTCATTTTTTCTGGCTCTGAGCATCATTCTCCATCATTGTTTGGAGCAGTTTATTTAATACCATACAAATAAGGACAAATTAACTACATAGTTTTAGTTTTATTAAGGATTTTATGGAATCCATGAAAGGAACAAAATTAACCCCTCAGCTGTTAGCTGAATACGTACATATATTTAGCTAAATATATCACTGATTGTGAAGGTTCTACATTATTGATTACTTTTGTCAAGATTGACTTAAGCTGGTTGCGATGGACTGGCGACCTGTCCAGGGTGTACCCCGCCTCTCGCCTGTAGACAGCTGGAGATAGGCACCAGCACCCCTCGCGATCCTGCTTGGGATTAAGCGTGTCAGAAAATGGATCGCTGGATGGACTTCACCTGGTGGCTTCTACTCGCGGCATTAAGCCCCTGTCACACCTTGACGATTTATGCCTGACATACGAATAATCTGACAAAAATGCTGGCATACGTTGGATAAGTTATGTATCGGTTTTGTATAACTTATGAGCATGCTGAATCACGCTGGCACACGTCGACGTACAGCAAGTACGTCAAGAGATCTCATGCTCAAAATGTATTGAAATATGACCAGGATATGATCATATGTGGCTCATAAGTTACAGGTAAGTTATGTGATCGTTGACATACGTTATGTGTAAGTTACTCATAAGCTTATCCAAAACCTATGAGAAACTTGTGCATAACTTATAAAGAACTTTTCTCCTTGTTTCCAAAGGGGGCATTGCTGCCCACCTCAGGACATTGGCTTGTTTCATGGGCATTACGCTGTCATTCCTTATGCATAAGTTAGGCTGTCGTTGGACATACACTCAGGACTCATGAATAGTCTATCTATACGCCCAAACTTGAAAAAATGCATACAAAGTTCAGCATATGCCAGCGTTTTAGAAGATTCTGGGACGCCTTGGCTAAATTGTCAAAATGCGACAGGGGCTTTAGAAGGATTTGTTTTGCTTAACTTACTGGTCACACCAGTAGACCAACCTCATATGATAAACAAGTCAGCAAAACTTAATGAAGATTCATATAAATGGGAAAAATGTTTTCAGCCATGTTTATCAAAATAAATGAATTTTCAGAAATATTCCAGGGGCAAGGAAATTTTTATACAGTATCCATCTGGAAAGGCTCCTGTGGAAAGTGTTTGCAAAAGGGAGGGACATTCAGTACAGTCTTTGAGCTGATTGGGTAAATCATCAAGCAGTACCTGTCTTCTATGTCAAGATTTTAGCCAATCGCACCAGCAGTAGCAGCTGTGATGTATCACATTCTTGATTTGTTTCCCAACCAGTGGAGTTAACATATAAATCAAACTCTTGCCAAAATATGGTCAGCAGGAAACATCTTTCCCATCCACTAAAACACATATTCAGGTTCTTTTAGTCATTTTCAGAAAATAAATATAAGGTATTCCAGCTAAAACCAGCGCAGCCATGTTTGTTGTACTTTAAAAAATACCGCTTCTGGTTTATGTCATACAGGTCCCTGCATTTCATTGGTCTAAAACATTTCTGTATTGGTGCTAATGGATCTGTTCGCTTCTGGTAAGATGTGTTTTTAGTGGTTTGAAAATTCCCAAATTGCGTGCAATTCCTCCAAAGCCAGACTGGAAATCGTAGGAGCAGTAGTGTTGCTTTCTCCAGTGAATCCAGTTTTTAGGTCAAAATTATTGCAAAAGCAGCCTGCATACTCCTAAGCACACCTGGATGATGTAGATAAGCATGAAAGGCTCATCAGCCCACCTTTTTAAAAGCAATGGTATAAAAATTTGTTTTCTGTTCTATGGCTTATAGTCATTTCAATTTTTTTTTTTTTTTTCTGAGAAAGTTTAAGAGTAACTGCAGTTTTGAGAGGTGCAAAGTATTTAAAATTCAGGAAACAAACAGCTGACCTGTAAGTGAAAGCAGTTTGTTGGGTGTTTTTGCAACTTTAACTGTAAAACGACACACTTAGAAAACACCTCTATTTTAATAACATTATTCTTGGCCTCAAATGTAATCTTTGAGAGTGATCCTGCAGTAAAATGTCATAATATGGTTTGTTTGCGAGCAGTGAGACAGTTTCTCCTGCTTGAGGACGAACAGGGTCTGGACTGATTGAAGATGAGGGATGAAATAAACGAGAAACCGTGGGAGAGCCGGGAGAGATTTCTATCCACGAACCCTTTCATCCTCTGCACATCCTTTCACCTGTTGGTGTACAGGTGGGAGGATAAACAGTGGCGTGTCTGAATCCCTCTCGGTGCTAATGATCACATCTACCGTTTCT